TGATTATCAGGTAGCAAACCCTTTAGTATTAACTGTTTCCTTCATTGTTTAGTGCGCTACTTTGCGTTAGAGAAACTTCTGACTGTATAGCACAGGCTGTACAATTTGAGGTATTTTGTACTTTTGATATAATTTGTTCTGTTTCCTGAATTAGAACTGTTTAAATTGAGTACACAATTTTTGTTTAGATATAATATAATACGAGTAACTCAAAAACGCGTTGTGCGCTACACAGAGGAACGTGGTCTGGTCTAATCGAATCAATTTTTGATTCGTCAGTCTGGTGTTCCAATCGAATATTGGTTGTTCGGTTGTTACAGTATGAATTATTATGATGCCAATTATTCTACATTGAAATTATGGAATGCATCCAACAGTAAAATCCAAAACGTACATTTCCTTCTATTGAAAATATTCATCTTTCAAATATAATATTCATTTCAAGGTTTGAATACATTCTCTTTTGTAATTTGAAATACAAACTATTCTTAATTAATTTAATCATCTTATATTTGTGAATGAATTGGACATTTCTACATATTTATTCAATTTCATTATAAACAACTTTAGTACACTTTATTTTCAGTGATAACTAATCTACACAATAAAAAGTACTTAACTACATACATATCACTAAGATTTATAGTGAGTTTAAACGAGTATTTCTCTTTGATATATATATTTGATTTGTAAACTTAATGTATACATGGTTTTACACGTGTAGCACATCTGTAGATAACGACACTATTAAAAAAACAACTTATCATGAATGCCAACAATTTATTTTTCTTGGGACTGAATAGAAAATACATTTGTGAGATGTATTTTATTATTATTATTAAATGATGGAGAGAAAGAAAAAAAATCTTGTGAGTAACAACATTCATACATGTTTACATATAAAACACCAACACCTAAAAAAATGAGTACAACTATTTTGTGTAGGATAGTAGAGTCAGCCTCTGAAGAGAAAAAAAAATAAAACAACAAAATTTATCATCAATTTTTTTGTGCATTGTTCTCTTCACATAGTAACTAAAAGTCTGAAATCTTACAACATCTGGCCTATTTCTGTCTCATTTATATGCCTATATTTACAACTTTGAATACACATATACGTATTTATGTCTATAAAAGTGTGTAAATATTTCAAAATGTTTGTTTGTTTATCGTTAAACACACATTAAAAACATTTCCTAATCATATTGTAATCGAAAATTGCTAGAGTTCGGTTTAGATTCTGTCGTGTTAGATAGTCGGCGAAAGTAGATAGTAAATTCTGGATAATAGTTTCATATTATTTGTCACTTATTACCAAGGTTTGCCTATAATCTTGAGGGAACTGAATGTTCTTAACTGATTTGAAACTGCACCACTCAGCTTCGGATTATAGACATTAGCACTGAGATATTTACTTTGATTGATCACTTATTGATGACCAATGCCGTGCTTGCTTAGTCCTTTAGCATTGATGGAATTCCATCGACTGTACAGCAATGTGACCAGTGGTATGAGTATCTAAACACCCAGTATACTATATCGAGATATTAAGTGTTTAGAGTTTGTTGACAAGAAATAGTGGACTCAAGTTCTGTGTTAGTTGGCATATCATCAAGGTGTATCTACCTATTTATCGTCTGTGGATGTGTAAAAACAAATACGGAAAAGCAAGAGGTGTCTAATAAGTGAGGATATACCCAGAGACTGTAACTCATTACGTTAAATCCGCGAAGTCCAACGTTTTTTTTCCATAAACATGAATCCTGCTTTATGCACTTTATTGTAGATAATTGACTATCATCTGAGTTTGAAAACCATAAGCACTATTATAAATTATTGCCTAAAGTAGGGTTAGACTAAGGTTTTCGATTCACGCATAATCTTTCTTCAAACCAAACTACAGAGCCGTAAGTCTCAAAGTGATTGAGTTTATTTTAAAATAACTTAATTAATCTATATATCGTCCGAAATAATATAGATACTCTCATCATTAACGAATGTTCATTTGAACAATATTATTACTGATACGAATGCCAGTATATCAATGTTAAGTAATGATTAGTCAAGTCTGTGAAGTAAAGTGAAGTTTGCTTGTATGCATCTGTTAAGATATATTCACTTAAATATAACAGTTATAATTTCAAAGATTACTCATTATAATGGAGAAGAGTTGGGAAAACTAAGAATCGTGTTACTAATGTATGTGACAAAGAAATAAAACCATAGTTACCCAGTGATTGTTCATGAATTATTTATGAATAACTATCAGGAAATAAAATGAACTGCTCCGACTAAACAGTGTTTAATTTATTCGAAATTCACTTGTAAGTTCTGACCTTGTCCATATTAATGAATGCAACTAACTGAAAATATTCAGTGAAACAATACTAATCATTTTGTAAGTAATTTTAAACGTCGCACTATTCTTCCATTCTATCTCAGCCTTCTTTTACTTACTTACTTATTGACGCCTGTTACTCCTCGTGAAGGAGCATAGGCCACTCACCAGCATTCTCCATCCAACTCTGACCTGGCCAATCCTTTCCAGCTCCTTCCAGTCCTTTCCAGTTCCTATTCATCCTTTCCACGTCTGCTTCTATTTCCCGAAATAATGTGTTCCTCGACATTCCTCTTTTCCGCTTCCATTCAGGACTCCAAGTTAGCGTTTGCCTCGTGATGCAGTTTCATGATTTGCGTAATGTATGTCCTATCCATTTCCATCGTCTTTTCCTAATCTCCTCTTCAGCTGGAAGCTGGTTTGTTCTCTTCCACAGAAGGTTGTTGCTGATGGTATCCGATCAATGGATGTTGAGTATCTTGCGTAGACAGCTATTTGTAAATACTTGTACCTTCTTGATGGTGGTTGTTGTAGTTCTCCAAGTTTTAGCTCCGTACAGTTGAACTGACTATCTTGACGTTCATATTGAAGATTGTGACTTTGATATTGGTTGAAAGTTGTTTTGAGTTTCATATGTTCTTCAATTTCAGCTTTCTCAGTTTCATTAATTTCTGGCAATGTGTGTATACTTCCGTTGAAGCTGATGCTTTATGCTCTTGTTCTTTGTTAATACTACAGAAGTTTTAATAGTTGAATTCGTGAGCTAGACCACCAATGAAAATTTAGAAGCACTGGACGGCCGTTTTGTGCCGATAAAAGTTTGTATAAAGAAGAGGGAAACTGATTTGATTTAGTTAGTTAGCAATATTAATATATATAGCTTTATGAGTATCAATTTCAATATAAGAAATTTCATTTTATTATTTTTTCACTATTCACTTAGAAGTTATCCAAATTTCACTTGAAGATCAAACAACTTTAAACATTAATTGTATTTTGTAGTTATATTTCGTGATTTTTATTTTATTTTGTTCATAGTCGAGAAAATTCTGTACGTTATACTTTTGAACTAACTTAAATTGGAAAAGTGGTGATAAAACCTTGGTTCAAAACATTATATTTGGCTATCGTGTAGATGAATGTTCTACAGAGAGATGATCAACTCATATTATATATTATTATGTCTATTCCATGACATCAATGGACACAGTTAACTCAGGCACAAACATAACACCAGAAACATAAGACAGTTAACATAAAACCTGAACAATTCTTACTTGTAAGTTTGTAAGGTAGTGAAGCATGATACAGGAAAATGGAAATGGTCTGCATAGGTCAATAGTTATGAAAGATAAAATGCTAACAAAACGATAGCAGTACGACTTTCGGATGAGCTATGCACTGATGACATGGGATAAGAATCGCTGACTGAAATTAAGATTTTCTGACCACTTAATTCTGATACTGTAGTTCAATAGTATCATGATATATATGAAGGTGATAGATATAATCTTGTTTAAAATCATAGGTATGTTTTATTGGCAAATCTTAATCTAGGACATAACTTTATTCTGATATTACCCAGTTTTAAGTCTTTCTATAGTGACAATCACTATTACTTAATTAGTCATGTTTATTACAACTAACCCTTTAAAAACTCACTCTCTTCTCCTACAAAGCTTTTTCCGTTTAATACAACTTATGAAAGTTTGAATTAACTATTTATGATCCATAGAATGAACGGATATGTGTCTATTGAAAACGAGGACCAGCATTAAGAATGGTAATTCATGCAGCAAAAACAAAAATTCACAGATCATGATTTCCGTTCTCAAAATTTTATGACTTTCTACATTAGAAAGATTTTCAAATAGGATGAAGCATCTACTCAATACTCTTTCTTCATATCATTCACTATTTTTCTAATGGATATCACAAATAGATAACTTTTAAGGTATCATATAAGAAATATAACTTTTTTTCTGGTTTGTAACAACTTAATACATATAATCTAGAAACGCCTAGATCTTATAGAGATCACGAAAATGTCTAGTGACTAAATTTAAACTACATCAGCCAAACTTTAAATATCTTTTTTTAGTTAATTAATACTATGTTATCAGAATGGGTTTTGTGGAGATTTTTAGAAATTTCACTGGTTGAAATCATGAGTCAATTGAGGCTAGACCAGGTTTTCCATGGTGATCTAGCTTCAATTGACTCATGAATTCAACCAGTGTAATACGATGTTGTCTGATTATCATTCAGTAACATCAATGAATTACTGATCCATTCAGGATTTGTCAATCAACCATATCATGATAATTTAATCTTCAGTTTCAGAGAAGTGTCTTAATAATATGTTCCTAATAATAATAATAATAATAATAATAATAATAATAATAATAATAATAATAATAATAATGTCAACACAAACTTTCGAAATTTTGAATATCTCTTCAAAAAATTTTTAATAATAATTTTTACAAGTACATCACAATTTTTTTGGTTATTTTTATTAGATTTAACCAGATTTACATAATATACAATCCAGATAATCTAATTCTTTCGCATATTCATAAATGATCACCTTTATGCTTGTTTTGGCCTTATAATAAACAATTTAAAAAAAGGTTTCTGATTATTAATAAAGGATTAACTTTTAATTTGATATAATTATCATTAATTTTCTCCTATAGCAAATTTTATTTGACTCAAGATAATCACTATTATTATTATTATTATTATTATTATTATTATTATTATTATTATTATTATTATTATTATTATTATTATTAGTAGTAGTAGTAGTAGTAGTAGTAGTAGTAGTAGTAGTAGTAGTAGTAGTAGTAGTAGTAGTAGTAGTAATAGTAGTATTGCGAGTTTTATGTTGATTCATATGATTTCAAGATTGTGGGAGAAAAGCAAAGAAAAGGAGTTACTTAATGAAGAAATATTAATAACAGATGATATTTATTTCAGGTGAAGTAAACATAAATGAATTGATAAAATCATCTCTTTAATAAAATAACATTATGTAATAAGTAATTAGAATCTCACTTCATATTTGATTATTAATTTGAAGTGGTTTTAGTATGATTATATATATATATATATATATATATATATATATATAGTGGGCAGACGTAACGATATATGTCAATTTGTGATATGATCCAAATATCATTCACATGATTAAATTACTCAGATAATAAAATTTCACTAAAACATAAGGAATTCACTTCATGTGCAATAAATAAATGACCAGATGATTAAAGTTACGATAGGAAGTATTTGGAAGTTCTTCATTTTCAATCATGCTGGAATAGAGAATATTTTATACTCATGCAGTATCATGAGTTGACTGAGTTTAGAAATAGAAATCAGTGAATATCGAGTCATTGGTCTAAATATGACCTGTTCACCGTGAAACATGAAAGTGATGATTTTAGTCATTAGCCGAGTCGTCGGTGTGAACTAATAGTGACCTTGACCTCTAATGATCCATGAATTTTAATAGTTGTTTAGTTAATTGCGTTTCATAATGTAAATTTTCTTCAAATCGGACAACCTCCACGAACTCCTGAATTTTGATTTGTATAGAAAAACTAAGGATGAATACTAAAGGAAACCTGTTTCATAATGGGATATGAATAAGTTATAATCGATGTATCAATTCAATGGAAATATATAACTGATAACCAGATATCATTTACAGTTACTTATTTTACTTTGTTAAGTTATATAATTTTTATTGTGAGGTAAAATATGTACAGTTAACGCTTAATTATTAACACTAAATGGATCTTCAACAACGTCATTCCAAGTTTATTTGTGGAAAAAACAGTTAGGTGGTTGACTCATTATACTGAAGAATGTATGATAGTTAAATATAATGTCACTTTTAATAACCTTTTATTTTAGCTCCATATATATCATAAGAATTTATATTTTCAAATAGTTAACTTAGGTTCACATATAAACACAGTTACTGTAGTACGAAGCCTGGTATATACAATTTAATAAGGTGTTTGAATGTAGTCATTGTGATATTTCAAACTAAGACTTCGTGCTGTTTGATATTCGTCGACGAAGTGTGCCTGTAATCCCGAGGAACTAATGTCCGCTAGTGTATTCGACTTCAAGTTGTTAAGCTTCACAGTTTGAGTTGTTTGGGATACTGCTTATATATACCCGACCGTTGTTGCTACCTTGACGTGGTGGTCGGGCTTCCCTATCGTGATGAAGCAACCGAGCTATACTGACTGGAACAACCGTTCCTCAAGGTCCTACCATGTCAGACAGGTCGGTTGAAGAGCGGTAAGACTAAAAGCAATAAATCTAAGGTCCGAAGGAGAAGTCGTACTGCTGACTGTACAGAGGTGTGACAGCAGTAAGGCGTTTCCTTCAGACAACCAGCATGACAGCAATGCTGCCTTTCCACGAGGAGGGGTGGGGTTATATATATATTGTGAAGACCTCCAAATCTCAGGCAAAGTATGGAATACAGTGGAGTACACTCTGGATGAAGTTTGGCGATTTGGACTTCACAGATCACCTAATTATTATATTCCATACAGCAACAAATACGGGTCAAGTCAATTCGCGAACAATGTATTATACTTTATGCGGATTTTAGATGGGAAAACCGATAATTTATTCGCGAAAGTATCATTGAATAAAATTCGTTTCTGAATATAATATGCAATTGTTACCTAGTTTTCCATAGCATACAATTCTATATAATGTTTTATTCTCTACGGATAGGAACTTTAGTACTTAAATAACCAATATGGATCCTTTACTGATCAAAGTAGGGTCCTATGAACCGAAATAACAATATACATTTTCAGCAATGGCTGTAATATTAATAGATTATACTATAAGAAGATTATGTAAAGCGCAAAAAATTTAATGCAATTGAAGTAATTTGTTTCGTTTAAACCTTATTCAATTCATGACATAATTATCATTATACAATATTTCTGACAGTCAGTAGTTACAATTCTGACTTGATTAATTCATCAGATTACAGCATATCACTTTAACCTCAGCAGATCTCTTTGAAAGCTCATTAACGATAAATTAAGAATTATTATTTAGTCAATTTCACAACATTTTATTCAGCTACGAACTAGTTTTCATCATCAGCTGATATCAGATGGAGAATAAGTGACAGTGTATGATACTTACTGAATGAAAAGTGATTACTATCTAGTATGAATAGTCTCGTTCTTGGTTAGTCTTACTAAAGCCGATGTAATTTATGAAGTAAAAACGTGATCTTAAAAATGTATTACTTTCAAAATAATCATTGAAACGAAAAAAACTTAAATGACCGCATCAACATGTGACAAACATTATAATTAACCTAAGGAAATGATATACAAGATACACGGAAGAAGGCGATTGAATTAATGAGTTAACAAAATTAAATATATGAATTATTCTTAAATAATGTCACTGTTTCCTTTTCTAATGAAACATTATCATTTTATCATATCACCAAAAGTTATTTCTTCTTTTAATTCATACATCAAATTTATAGTGTGAATTATTTCAGTAATACAAAAAATTTGCAATTTCAGTATTACGTTTTAATTAAATTTTGCTTCACAAAGAGTATAGGAGAGACTAGATTACACTTTGGTTATTTATTCTCTGAAGAAGTGGTTTATACTGAGTCACCAAACGTCAGAACATTTAATTTTTCTATTCATTAGGATATTACAAACAGATTACTTTTTTCTTAACAACAATCAACCCAATACTCAAACCTTGGAAATGATACCTTCAAATAAGAATGTTGTTTTTATCATGAAAAAGTGGATATAAAGTGTTTTGTTACCCACTTTCTAAATGATATTAAAAAGGTGAGCTTTGTCCAAAAAGTCATTTGAATAATTCTCGTAATATATTAAACAGTGCTTAGTTGAAATAATTTCATTTCAATGTATTAATGATTATACTGTGAAGTGATTTCGGCACTTCTTATTCGCTGTGTCTGAATTATTATGTTTACCACCATAAATGTATTTGAGAAAATGTAAACTTGTCAGTATATGCAGTATTTTGTTTGAATGATAGATTGAATAGAAGCGAACACTGAAAATATAGACTAGTTTTTCATTCTTCTCAAAACTCATCTTACTAGGACGAAACGGCCGTCCAGTGCTTCCAGGTTTTCAATGGTGGTCTAGCTTCAACTGACTCATGATTACAACCTGTGAAATATACATTAGCCCAAGTTGCTATGCTTAACTGGTTGAAGGTGCATGACCATGTATTTGTTTCAATTTCTTGATATCCTACGAATTACGTTATACCCCTCTTATATCCTCTTGATAACCAGATAAGTAATTTCAGCAGAATTTACTTTTTCACGAGAACTCGTAAAAAAATCTTCAAGATTTCTAAATGCCAACAGAAACAGCATTTTTATTGCTAATGTTGTCTAAACCTGTCAAGTTGAAGTTTAAGTGAGGAGTACTGACCAATCAGTACAAGTCATTGAACATTAATTACACGTAATGAATAAACTAGAATAGGTTTCTTTATGAATCTTAATTACGTAATCATAAATACGTGGTATTTGGTCATAGTGAATTTGTTGCTATTAGAAATTATCATAAATAATAATATGTGATATGAACGACATTATATATATATATATATATATACTAACTTGTTCGCTTTGTTCTTAGATATACTGCTCATCTTTGCTTTTTTCGTTCAAGTTTATAAAGCAAACTAGCAACATGAAGATTATGTTTTTATCTGAAGTATTCTTATAATGGGGTACACAGAAAATATAGTACGATTCAATTCAAAGTGACTCAATCTCAATGTCAAAAATTACAACTCAGATTTATTTGCTGTCTATAATGTCATAGTACGGATTGTCAATTCAATTATATTAAGAATGTTCTTAGTCAGATCGATAGATCATGGGTTCGAATCTTGCGGGGTGGGATTGTGGATGCACACTGCTGAGAAGTCACATACTAGGACGAAACGACCATCCAGTGCTTCCGGGTTTTCCATAGTGATTTAGCTTCAACTGACTCATGGACTTAACTATTAAATTACCATAATACCCACAAAAACCCGTTTCTCAAAATAAGTTGTACTCAGTGCTTACTAACTTTTAAATACATAAAAAGATGAAAAGCGAAAGCAATGCATGTAATAATAGAATTTTACTTGTTAATAATGTTTGGTAGATTACAACATTTAACTGTTATCCAAATGTAATGTAATAAATGGATTATTAGGAAGGTTTTTAGTTTTCGCTTCAATTCATTGAAAAATTTACCTAGCTCAAATCCATTTCTTCTGCAAATTATTCATTGATAATATACAGTAGATTTCAATCGTGTTATGGATGAGGCTGTCTGCAACAATAGATATGGGTGATGGTCCTTCTGTCTCACATATTCATTGAAGTTAGAAGCTTAAATAACAGGAGTCTGGATCAGCGGTTCTAAGAAAACGGTGCTCATTAAGGGGCCTATAGATCCTTGGTTCGAACCACAATAAGGCTTCGTGTGTGGAATCTTGACTAGTTTTGTAATAAAACGGAATATATATTCAGTGACTCCTAGTATTCAATGTTTGTCTGTCTAAAATAAGTTTGTGATTTGAACTATCCTCAGATTGACTGACCTCCATAACTCTTCTTTCCTGATATTAAATTAGAAGCAGACAAGGGTGAAATTTTGAAACATTCATCTGTGCCTATTCAATATTAAATAATATGGATGACAATGTCAAACAATGTCAAACAATGTCGATAAATGTATCTGATTAACGAAAGTCATTTAACGTCACAGATCAAAAATATAACATGAAACTATTTACTATCCCTGGATAGATTAGTTTCAACTCCGCACGTAGCTC